GGAAGGTCCGGCCCCGGTCAGTGAGAAGTTGGCGTGGAGCTCCGTGTACTAAAATAATATCATATACCAGAAAGTCCGCCACATCGGTTGCGCAACTCATCGGAAGTGCTCGTGTGATAGCGTACCCTGTCGCATAGTCAGTGGCGACAGCGATCCATTTGTTGCCCGAGCTGGAGATCGAGAATGGGCCAAGCAGGTCGAGGCCAACTCGAAAAAAAGGTTCAATGGGAATGTCGATCGGCTGAAGGAATCCAGCTGGTAGGGAAGATGGCTTTTCGCAGCGCTGGCAGGGCTCACAAGCGGCGACGTAGCGTCGAACAGAGCGGGCAAGACCAGGCCAAAAGAAACGACGTACACGGTCCTATGTGCGAGAGACGCCCAAGTGGCCCGCCAAAGGAGCGTCATGAAGTTGGTTGAGAACAGTCGCACGAAGATGTGCTGGTATGACGGGGAGCAAGTCATGGCCATATGGATCGAGGTTACGGCAATACAGGATGCAGTCTTTTACCAGGAACATTTGTAGAGATGCGTCGCAAGGCATTGACTCAAGCTTGTCAATGATGGTTCGCAGGGAAGCATCCCGGCGTTGTTCGTGGCCAAGGTTGAGTAGCTGCGTCGCAGACAGAAGGTCTGGAAAGGTGTCAGTATGGGCAGCCTCTTCCACAGGGTAGCGTGATAAACAATCTGCATCTTGATGTGACCGCACTGTTTTGTACGATATGGTGAACGTGTATTCTTTTAATCGTAGGGACAAACGAGCGAGGCGTCCTGTGGGATCCTTGAGTGAGGCCAGCCAGCAAAGCGTGTAGTGGTCGGTGACTACCCGGAATGGACGCCCGTATAAGTATGGGCGAAACTTGGCGACTGCCCACACAAGAGCGAGACACTCACGCTCCGTGATTGAATAGTTGCGCTCGGCTGTAGATAGCAGTCGGCTTGCATATGCTATAACACGGTCATGTCCGTGTTGGTGTTGCAATAGCATTGCCCCGATGCCATGCCCACTAGCGTCAGTTCGAACCTCGGTTGGAGCTGATGGATCGAAATGAGCTAAAATCGGCGTTGTAAGGAGCGTCGTGAGCTGGGAAAAAGATTAGGCTTGATCAGCGCCCCAGAAAAACGGGATGTCCTTCTTCAGGAGGTTTGTGAGTGGGCGTGCAATGATGGCGAAGTCCTTAACAAACCGTCGAAAGTATGAGCACAAGCCAACAAAACTGTGAACGTCCTTTGTTGACTTCGGAACAGGAAAGTCCGTGACGGCGCGAATTTTCTCGGGATCCGGGCGGACTCCTGCGGCATCGACGATGTGGCCAAGTACGGTTATTTGACGACAAGCGAAGTGGCATTTCGACAAGTTCAGTTGAAGTCCGGCTCGACGAAAAACTTGAGAATCGCCGATAAATGCTTGAGATGGGAGTCAAATGTGGGCGAGAAAACGATAATGTCCTCTGAATAACATAAGCAGGTTGACCATTTAAACCCTTGGAGCAATGAGTCCATCATTCTTTCGAACGTGGCCGGCGCATTACAGAGACCGAAGGGCATAACTTTGAAGTGATAAAGCCCGTCAGGAGTGACGAATGTGGTCTTCTCACGGTCCATCTCGTCCACAGCGATCTGCCAATAGCCAGATCGAAGGTCGATAGTAAAAAAATACGTAGCACCGTAAAGGCAGTCTAAAGCATCGTCGATTCTAGGCAGCGGGTAAACATCTTTCTTCGTAATTTGGTTGAGATGCCTATAATCTACACAAAAGCGCCATGTTCCATCCTTCTTTCTGATCAGGATGACAGGAGTAGCCCAGGGGCTACAAGAGGGCTCGATTATGTCTTTTGCAAGCATCTTTTCGACTTCCTGTTGTATGACTGTGCGCTCGGACGCGGAAACCAGGACCTCCAGAAGCTGCACTGCCTAGTTTTCCGGTCGGGGCACTGCGAATAGGTCGGAGAGGCAGGACGGCGTTGTGGGGGCGAACGAGATTGACGGCGAGCTGGGGATGGTGAGCGGGCGTAGCGAGGTCTCGTCAGAGGTGCGGCAGAATCAGAGGATGTGGTTGGCATATGGGAATCAAAATCAAATGTCGAGGACGACTGGTGGACAGAAGTGGCCTGGGTAGGAGGCCCATAGTGTGCCAGCGGAGCCCAGTGATTGTGGCAGTGGCGAGCAATATGACCGACACGTCGGCAGTTGAAGCATATGGGCTTGTCGTCCGTGTACGCCATTCGGACAAATTGCGCTGTCGAGAGTAGTTGGAACCAAATCGAGGAGCGGAGGGACGACGATAAAAAGGCTCGGCAGAGTAGACTGGTTGAATGGGGTGTAGGCCGACGTTCGATAATTCTTGACGAACGACGGCTTGTATCAGTGAGATTGTGGTCGGTGAAGGATCAGGCGTTGGAATTGGAGTAGCTACTGGTTGGGCTGCCTCGACCTCGCAACGAATGATGCGGGTGAGGTTGTCACATCGGGAAACTGGGCTGACGACGTCATCACAAGAGGAAATAGTAGCTGTGTTCGGCAGGCGCGTGATGCCGTGGGTGACGCGGTGGGCTTTAGCCTGTTCTAGACGGCGGCATTCTGTCAGGATCGTGTTGATGCTCGTAACATTATTAAAAACCAGCAGGTTGAAGGCATCGTCAGCAATCCCTTTGAGGACGTGATTAACTTTGTCTTCTTCCGACATGCGCTGGTCGACCTTGCTACAAAGCGCCAAGACGTCAAGAACGTATGAGACGTACGATTCAGTAGACGTCTGGGCGCGAGTAGCGAGAGTCTTCTTGGCAGCGAGCTGACGACCAGATGAATCGCCGAAAAGATCACGGATCTTCGATTTGAAAAGATCCCAGCTTGTGATTTCGGCTTCGTTGGTTTCAAACCATGTCCGCGATGTGCCGTCAAGGTAGAACACAACATTGGCGAGCATGAGCGTGGGATCCCAGCGGTGGGTAGCACTGACTCTCTCGTACCGGTGCAGCCAGGAGTCAACGTCGATGGTACCGTCAGCGGAGAAAGTTCCAGGATCCCGCAGGGGTGGCAGGGTGACGTCAGGTTGTCGACTCGGTTCGAGAGACCGGTAGGGATGAGGCACTGGCAGTTGATGTAGCCGAAGAGTCCCCGGTGTTGCGACCGCTGCGCGTCTCTATCGAGGTACGGGAGTCGTCCACCTCCACCAATAATGTTTCGGGTAACTTATTTCAATAAATAAAATACGATGCACCGTGCTCAGCGAACAAGATGGCGACAGTTCATCAACAACCAGCCACCAACGTCGTCTTTCTCTTTCTTGCAGCCAGGCTGTGCCGGCTGTTGTGTATCAATACGAATAGCGATTTTGGTCAATCAATTTCGAATCAAATTTAATAGTATACATATCGCATTTATTTTAAAAATCGACATATTTGCCATGACCTAGCTAACCTGCACGATGTTTTTAAAAATTGAAACAAGGCCTGTACAAATGCCTTTTTTTAGCATGAAAGATAGCAGAAAAAACTTTGAATATAAGTAAGATTTGACTTTAGGTAGAATGCAAGTGATAGTCTGAAAAATATGTTACTTTTTAAGTTACCTGAACTTTGAGAACATAAGTTGGTATAACAAGCTTTTAAACTTAAAGAATGAACCGATGTGAGGGTAATATTCTCGCTTAACCTTCAAGTGAGGCTTTGCGACAGTGCGGGTTTCCCCTGAATGTGTGTCTTCACTGTTTAGTATCACTTCACTGCAGTGAAACCACTTTTACAAAGGGGTTACATGCGAATTTACACCTGAATTGGTGTTTTCATGTCTTAGCACAACTCCTCTGCAGTGAAACCACTTTTACACAGTGCCACATGCGAACTAACATGTGCCTATTCATTCGTTTTGAATAATTCGAAGTTTTAGATAATTTAAATTTGATTCGAAGTGAATTCGAATACTACATTATTCGTTCAAATATTCAAAGCATTCAAATATTTGCACAAGCCTACACACGCCGTGCGATACATTTAGCTTAATTTCCAAGTAAGAAGGCACTGCTGTTGATAATATTGCTTTTTATGATAATACTGCTTTAACATAAGCCCTACAGGAGAAAATGCCGTGGACATCTGAGGATGCCATACCAGGGGTCTCAAACTCGTCTCGGCAAGCGGGCTGCAGTCGCAAAACTTAGTCGTGCTAGGGCCAGGACTGTAAAAGTGTAGCGGAGGACGGATGACAGAAACATCAGCTAATATCACTAATTCAAAGAAAAGGTGCCAAGGGTTCATTTCAGCGCCCATTCCCCTCCCTGTTATGTCACTGCATGGGGCTAATTTTGCGTTCCCCCCTCCTTATGTCAATGTGTGGGGCTTGCTTTGTGCTTCCCCCTTCTCTTAGGGGTCTCCCTAGTGAGGCAGAACATGCCAAGCAAGAGAAATGATCGAGAATCGCACGCATTTTATAGATACACGCAATGCTGTTTGCTTATGGCGAATACTCACTCTCTGGATTTCATGCCGACCGGTTGTGCCCCCCAATCTCCGACGACAGCGCAGCTCTGGCTGACTGGGCTCGCCCTACGCCATATCCCGACGCTGAAAAGAGCTCTCGCAGAGTGGTACCCCATCCTCGACTCGTGCGACCGTGTCCACCTTTCTTATCTCCTCTTTACTTCAGTCGTTTTCCATCGTTCGCTGCCCCTGCGCCTTGCTTTCTCCTTCCTTTCTATCTCTTTACCTTTTAATCCTATCCTTTTAATCCCTTCTTTAACCCCCCCCCCCCTTCTCGTAAGCTACTGTTGAGGTGTCGCACTCTGATGCAGACAGTTACAAGGCTCATTTTTCTCTTTTCAAACAAGAAAACCCTTTGGTTCTTGTTATGCAATGCCTTACAGGTTACGGCAAAATCCCCCGCAAAGGGTTAAATCCTGAACAACATGGTAGCATCCACCGCGATAATTTGTGGTGTTCTTATTTCTACCACCATCTCTGTAGTCATCGGAACCTTTAAATATGAGCAAGACTGACTGTACTTACGGAGACACCGCTGGTGCAAGGTCCAGAGGAGGGAGCGGAAAAAGGGCTCTGCATGCAGATCCAGCCCTGCTCTCGCCAGCTCCTTGTAAGGAAGCCGCAACGCACACTCCTCATGTAACAGGCGCGCCGCTGCCGCGTCCTCGAAGAGGCTGTCTGTGTAAGGAGCAAGACAGTCCTGCTGCATCTTGAGGAATACCGAGTCGTCGATGCTGCGCAGATTTCCGCGGGTCTTCTTCTGGCTCAAGATCGTGATCATTGGCCGGTTGAGCTTAACAGAGCCTGCCAGATCAGACGGGACAGAAAGCACAGTCAACTGAACACACTGCAAGGGCATGCAAGCATCAAGCACGATACTGGAGAAGTTATCCTCTACTGCCCCTTGGATATTCCCTCATGACACGATGTTCATATACGTATTAGACCCACACTTGTTTTTGCCCCCATTCTTTGGACTAGTGGCCAAGACAGAGCAAGACGAATTGCACATAGGATGAATTGAACTTTCTACAATCGACGTCTCTTTACTCAACCTCTATGAGCAGTGCATGAGCGTAGCTGATCAGTTTGGTACAGGCACTGTGATGTACTTAAGGCCATTCGGTGAGACTCACTTCAGGGCGAATGTCAAAAGCATTTTCTTTGTTCAAGGTGAAGCCAACTAAAAACAAATTTGCGCATGTATATTGAGCCTAGATTTTTATTCCTATTATGTAAGACTGCAGCACGACAGCCTGCCGAATGAATAAACAGTAATTACACATTAATTCCAATTACCAAAACTTCCACAAAACAAATTACTTTACTTTATTTATTTGAATATAATGCAGTTGTGATGGTGAAGCGAAGTAGAACTCCTGCAAGTAAGGATGAAACGCTCTATCGAGCGGACTCTTGCCCAGAAAGAGAAGAAGCGGCACACCAAGCGCAAACGATGGGCTCCAGCACGGTCTGTTGTCGGTAAACAGAAAGATGATCAGCAGAGAAGTTCGCCAGCTTTTATACATGCCTTTTAGAACATTATAGTGTTATCGACCATACAAGTGTACATTTTGGAAGGTACTCATACTGGTTGGGCACGCAATGCTGGTGCTATTCGCGATGCGGCATGCAAGTTCAATGCGGCCTGTGCCGACCAATCAAGCAGGTCACGATAAAGTTGAAAAAGGCTGTTCCCGTGAAATAAAAAGCTAAGTAGGTACACCTAAACCCTATCGCTTTCTTCTTTGTCCTGTTGCAGCACTGTTTACATAAAGTTCAGTATGTACCAGCAAGCCTGCATTACCTAACACTTTATATCAGTCTATAAGTACGCCTGTTAACACATCAGTTCGTGTAATATGCAACACCACTCGATTCAGTATTCAAGCATTCCAAACAGTCACACACACCCAACTGTACAGTGACAAACACCTCATGGCGTGGCAATGCGCTCCCGACGGTGCGACAATACTCCACTGATGGCACAGACATGCTCATAACCGCAGTGATCTGTGGTTTACAGAGTACAGACTTACGGGGCCGGCTGGTCTTGAGGATGAAGAGGTCCTCGCTGTCAGAGGAATGTTTGTACATGCTCTTCCGGAAAATGATGCGGTCCCCTTCCAGCGTCGGGTCTTCAACCAGCATGCCTTTGCATCCTCCGTATCGAATCTGAATGGCACTTGGCCGACACTCGCGTGGAAGAGCTTCGTGGACCTGCATTATTACTTCCGCTATCCACATGTTTGAAACACCACACGCAATGTTCAGCAGACAGAGCAGCCTCTTCTAAACGAATGTGTACCAGACAGCAAGACGTGCTGCTGTCGAACCCAGCTACATTACCAACCCAGGAACAGATGTTTTGCCGGTATCCAACATTTATAACGTTTCCCTGGAAATACAATTGATAGATGGATTGATTGATTGATATATGGGGTTTAACATCCCGAAACCACTATATGATTATGAGAGACGCCGTAGTGGAGCGCTCCGGAAATTTCGACCACCTGGGGTTTTTTAACGTGCACCTAAATCTGAGCACACGGGCCTACAACACTTCCGCCTCTATCGGAAATGTAGCCGCCGCAGCCGGGATTCGATACCACGATGGGAATACAGTTGAGCCCACATATAACAGCACTACTTAAAACGAAGCTTCACTTGAATGATACCCGCGTGACCGTGGAAATATACATGATTTCAATGGCACAAAATCGCACTTAGAACGCGTAACGCCTTGAGCGTCGCTGATCGGTTGCAGAGAACAGAGTCGACGCTCCGGCGACTTCCCGGGAAACCAGTTTCGACCACCGCTGGGAAATCTGCGAGGTGCCCGTAGATCCTTTAGTGAAACGCCGACCCAGCCTCCACAGCCCTTTAGTTGTCGCCCTCCCCAACATTTCGCTGTTACGCACCGCCTTCGTCTTTTGTGTCCCCCCCCCCCCCCCCCCCCCCGTTACTTTGAGCACCCCACATCACCAAACGAGGCCCGCGTTTTTGCACTGCCACAGATCTTTCGAAGATCGGTCGGCCAACTAGTATCCCATCAGTTTCTGAACACTGCTTTGCTACACTTTCGTTAGGGTCACCAACCTGGAGTGATCCGACCATTTGCCAACATATTCTGTTATCAGTGTACCCGATCTTCTGCGTCTGTGTTTTGTCTGCGTTCCATGTTTGGGACCTGTTCTCGCTCACTTCGCACTCAGCTTAGCATGCTCCCCGCATGCGTTCAGAAGCGTAAAAATGGCTTTTGCACGGGATGAACAGTGAATCATCGAAGTAGACGGAGCTGCGCAAGTTCGCCGGCGCCACTGCCGCAATGCAATTCTTTGACCTCTGTGCGCACAGACCAATTTCCCAAGTTTTTCCCACGCGGGAGTTGTGCGTCTCATCGACCCTGCGGGCAAGCTACCCAACCTGCCTTTTCGCGTGTTTTGGTTTCCAAGGTCGCCTTCCCGCCGTATGCTTCCCTACTCGTGCATCACTATCCCAACTTTGCGGGTGGTGGTAGTGGTTCTTGAAGTAAGGAAAAAAACACTAAATTTCTGTCTGCCATTATTACGTCTTTCCCAAGTCTGCTCTCCTCTCTTTATCGCAACTTCGCCCCTCTCAACCACTCTGCGATGCGAGCCGCCAGGCACGCTGGCTTTAATTCAGAAGTTTCGCTTTCTGACTAGAAACACGCCCAGAGCAGTTCTACCCACGCGTACCGACTTCTACGTACAGTGGACTACAAATAAACGAAACTCGCTTAAACGAAAATGCTTCATTAACGGAACTAAACGGGCTCATATCGTTGGATTTCTATGTGTTGCGCAGTAAAACTCATCGGTTAATCGAAAAAGTGCTTATTGGTCACTTATGGTTAAACGGCACAAACTCTAAACACAGCATAGGCTCACTCATGCCAAAGGTAGTCTCATAACCATGGCAACACCTGAGATCGAGATAAGCCAATCCAGTAGCCATTCTTGCTTGTGACTGTGGGAGCCAAGTCGGTGAGTCAATTGTGCGTTAGGCCTATTTGTGCAGCGAAATGCGGTGGATCATGGTGTTATTTCAGCCTCATGAAAAGGAAGCGGCCGCACCATACACTCTCGCTTGAAAAAAAGCTGCAAATTCTTCAGAAGCTCGATCGAAGCGGCTTGCCCAAGATGGAGGTGGCGAAAAACTGCATCCCGAAATCGACGCTGTCACGAATCTGGAAAGACTGAGAAAGGATTGAAGGCACAGTTAAGAATGGGACCTTTACATCTAAACAGATGCGTATGCGGACGACGCTTTATGAACAACTAGAAAAGCAGAAAGCTCGAGAGATCGCCATGCAAATGGGTGCCAAGAACTTTGTCCCAAGCGACGGATGGCTCAACCACTGCAAAACACGGCATGGCCTAGGTAGTTTTCAAAACAATCTCAGGTGAGAGTGGTGCAGTCAACAGGGACATTTGCACCGACTGGCAACAAGGGCAGTTTAAGAAAATTTTGATGAGCTTTGAGCCACGAGAAGTCTTTACCGTCGACGAGATGGGTCTTTTTTTATAAGGCGCTTCCATCAAAGACTCACCTTTGAAGGCGAACCCTACAGTGGAGGAGAACGCAGGAAAGATTGCATCACTGTGCTGGTGGGTGCAAACAAGGCAGGAGATGAGAAATTGAAGCTGTTGGTAATAGGAAAGTCAAGGAACCCCCGTTGTTTCAAAGGGGTTGGACACCTTCCTGTTGCGTACCATGGGACTGAAAAAGCGTGGATGACCATGGCCATTTTCGAAAACTGGCTTCGGGAGGAAGACGCAAGATTTACGAGGCAAGGCAAGAAGGTTGTCTTCATCGTGGATAATTGCCCAGCCCACGGTCAGGTTCAAGTACTCCAAGCCATTACTCTGGAGTTCTCGCCAGCCAATGCAACGGCAGTGAACTAGCCAATGGATCAAGGGGTTATTCTGAACAAAAGTTCATTACCGCAGACGATTGCTCCATCAAATGCTGCTTAGAGCAGGCAGCGGGAAACGCTACAGCATAGATTTATTGACAGCCATCCACATTTTGGCTTGTGCCTGGGAGCAACAATACATAGATGCTTTCACCATGCTGGCTTTCAAGTGCAAGAAAACAGTACCTGATGAAGAAGGAAGCCCTGCTGATGCCGACATTAAGACAGTATTCAGTCAGGTCGTATCCTCTGCCCCTTTCACGCTGAATCAATTGATGAAAATGTTTGTACCTGCCGTGAAGAAACTGTCGAGGAAATGATTGTCCAAGTGCAAGATGAAGATGAACATTTCAGCGATGAATGTGATGACAATACTGCCAGTGCAGTGGTGCCACCAGACCGATCAGCTAAAGAGGATGTTGAACTTTTGCAGTGCCATTTTGAGCATGAGGCTTGTCCAGAATTTCTAGGTAGTTTGTCAGGCATGGGTGCGCACCTTGTGAAAAACAACTCAAGCTTGCCGAACAAACCACTATCCACTTTTTTTCTCCTACTCATCCTCATGAGTAAGGTGAGGTTTGTGCGATTCGAATAAAGGTCTTGGTTCACTAAATAAGTGTACTTTGCTTAAATGAAACTTCTGATAAATGAAACAGTTTTATGGATCCCCTTCGAGTTCCGTTTAAGAGGAGTCGACTGTAGTGCTTGCAAGTCTTGCTCCCTGTTGGTGTGCGTGTGTGGTCAGAACGGCGGACGGGAGGCCTTCCGTGCTTTTTTCTGCTGCTAAACAAAAGGTTGAAAGCGTGACCGCTTGGCTTGGGCGCCATCCGCGCGTTCAGGACTTATTATAGATTCCGCGTTGTGGAGCACATGCTTGTATCTGTTGACCGCCCGGCAGCTAACTTGCCGCTTTGGGTGTCCCTGTATTTAGCTGTGGAGATAGTGAAGGCTTCGTGGGCGGCGGTGACGGCTACATGTGGGTGAAACTGTTTTCACGAGGCCGACTTCGTCGACGTCGTGACGAAGCTTCCGAGCTAGACCACTCTGGCGATTTGTGGCAGTGCGTCGTGTAACTTCGACATGGCAGAACATGCGGACATCTGTTGCAATGATTTAATCACAGCCGATAATGATGCCAACACTGCAGAACCGTGCACGGATGAGGCTGTTGTGAATGAAGTGCATGGCCGGGGCAATTCGGAGGAATCTCTGTGCTTGTAGCAATTGGCTACATTAATAGCCTCGGGCAGCTATGCCGTGGGCCTCGAAGAGCTTTAAATAAACTCCAGGCCAACCTTATCGCTTCTGCTATTCCCTCACGAATGTTTTTCAGTAAGAAATTTCGAAAAGCTGTGTTTCATTCACAACAAATTCAGGATACAGCGAACGAATGCGGCGTCCCGCTCAGGTTCGTTATAAGCAAGCTCAACTAACAAGAATGTGCACTTTTTTTTTTTAAGCATACGCGAAAACCTCAACCTCCAATAATGATGTATCAGCCCATCCTTTCACTAGAAAGAATCACTTCAACAAAACACCACTGTCTCAGCTGTTGCTGTCAAGAAAGCATGGGACCTGGAGAGAAGATCATGCTATGGTGGACAACTGACCCATTTGCCAGGCATAAAACATGAATGGTTGATGCAATGAGCATCTAATTGAATCACAGGATCCACCGTGCATTTGCCTAAAACAACTTGAAAGCGAAAGCTATCTTATTTTTCTCAGACGATGTATATCATCCCCCACCACCCTTCACATGCAGCACATAACATTGTTTTGTAAAGCCCCGCATTTGCAGACGTATTTCAGTAAACTTTAATGAAACAAAAAAAAAAACACATAACATAATGAGTTGTTATACTTCGAACTGTTACCAACAGGAGATATAATTTTGCTACGACAAAATTGATGGGATGAACAAGATTCCTTGTCACAGATTTTCGTTCCACCAGAACATCTTGTATGGACTGCATAATTTTAGAAAATCTTATAACTCGTTCTCAGGTCTCTGCATGCGTGTGCATTACAGTTGAACCCCTTTATAAAAAGACCTGCTCCAGGAAGATATTCTTGCCTTTAATATGAGTTGTCTCTTAAAAGTGGGGCACCACGCATGTGTTTTCTCATCAATCCCTATTTCAATGCTAGCATACCGGTGTCTCTTTTACCTATCTGTCTGTTACATCAGTGTCTCTTATAAAGAGGTATGACTTGTCAAACTGACACGCTTCACCTTCACATAGTACACATTCACCGTTGCTAGACACCACCAGTGCGCAACCTGACAGAATTGAGTATTGATCCGAGAGCCGTCATTATATACAAATACTTTTTGAACGCTTATAGATATCTCACAGAACATTAACTGCACCTTAACACATAAACACACAAACTTGGCATAAAAGTGTAGTAACTTTCATCCCCACGGGCATAGCGTGTTATGTGCAGCATGTTACGTCAATCGTGTAGCAAGACTTCACAAGCTATAGAACAACCATTTGCTCCTTAAACATTTCTTCGCATGCAAAGTATCTGCTCATTTGTTCCTGTAACTTGTTTTTGATGCTAAAATAGTGAACACTAAGATATAAAAACCACTTCATTTTAATTTCAAAAATGACTAACCACACTTATTATATTTACAACTTCATTACATTCAATCTTGCAGGAATTCATATTTGATTCAGCCCTGCCCTTCTGAAAGCCCTGTCAAGAGGCGTGGCCAACAGTGCTGCATGGCTGTACGCGTTTCCAAGCAAGCAAAACTCCCGTAGGAGCATATTTTCCTGGGCCCTTGAGGTTCCTTTTAATGAGCTTTTACTAAATAGTAATGCAGTTCCAAAAAGTTATTCCTAGCAGTGCCCCTCTCTTGGCACACCTGCAGACTCACCTTGGCAAGCAGAGCTGTAGAGATGCGTCCTACACCGTCGGAGAAGACGTAGTGCAGATTCCTCTTCGGCCCATCACACTCAATATCGGGCACCACCTCGGTGCAGCTGAGAGGGACCCGAATCCTTCCCAACGACTGTGAGAACGCCAGCCCCAACCGTGCCATGTATTTTGAAGGCAAGTGAAGATGCGACAGGTCGCCCAGAGCACCTCTCACATCGTCCGCCGAACGGCCTTGTGAATCGACTGAGTAGAACCACGCGCCATGGCTGCGAAGCTGACTCGTGGAAGATGCCAAGAACACGAACCTGCGGAGGATTTATTAAGAGAAATGCTTCAAGTGTCGAACCTAATGCTGGCCTTGAAGACACGTGTGCTGTAGAAAATGTCCTTGGGACTTTAGAGGGCCCGCCTCACTAGGTCCGACCACTTTCACCTGACGAGCACAATGCATCCACTGGACACACACGATCACGCCAGCCCGAAATTTGCAACACTACACCCCGTGAAAAGAGGTCAAAGTTTAAACTTGATGCCGCTTCCCCTTTGCATCACAGGCATGTTCCCTGAGACTGAGGGGATGACATACGAAGAGAAACGGCCCTAGGTAGTGATCAGTACTCTAAGATCTGTCCGCTGCATGGACATTGATGCTCTGTCATTGCCTACAGAAGCATGTGACACAGAATTTTTTTGAGAAATGTGTTGTTTGCTTAATTACCTGCTTGAATAGGTAAATGAAACTTGGTGGAAGTAATGAAAGAATCAAAATGCCTGTGTTATTCAGACTTTTACTGCGAATCACGGCAAAAAGTGTGACCAATCTGCTTCCGTTTCGCATGTGTTCATGTTCTCACGGTTCTTGCACCATGCAGATGCCAGTCCTCGCAAGAAAACCGACGTTGTAATGTGCTGCAGCGTCCATTATGCGCATTTATCCCGTGTGTCTTGCCTTGCACCCATCCAACTACCTCGTACCTCTATTTTTCACCGCTCCGTTTTGCCACGAGCAACACAAAGGAAGCCTCACTCGGTCACCGGCTGCGCACTAATGATCTAATCGTCAACGTTGTGTAACATTGTCAAAGTGGGGTTCTCCTGTCATTGGTCTACATATATCCTCTTCACCGCCGAAAATGGCGGGAACAACATGCGAGAGACCTTAACCAGCTGAAGCGGGCTGTTCTATACCACAGCCTTTATGAATTTCTGACCTGCTCATGCTGCTGTTCCCCACGTCGCCAGCTTTTGTTTCTAGTTCTTCAGACTGCCGCCGCACACTGTCGAGCCACAACTGACCTCCACTGATGTGCCGATTGATTAGTCGGAACGTAACTTCGCGGGCTTTGCTTTCAGTTGCTGTTTAGACATGGCACACTTGCTCAATGTGCTGCATATAGTAGGCACTCTCTTTTAGACATTCCAACATTGTTGCTTGTCATCAGCGACAAGCGATAATTTTGTAGTGAATGCACTGTAAACAGAGATAGGAAACAGTAGCAATACATTCCTCGCAGTATGTGCTGCTACGTTTTGAAAGCTCAAGGCTTTCGTCTTTTACTCGTGGCAGCTACGCAGATTGAGTAGCAGACGCAAAAGAATTGTGCGAGCAGAAGAAAGAACACATCGCTTGCGCCACTGAAAGTCAATTGAGTGGAGCGTGAAGGTGCGTCCACTTGATTTCACCATCTCGCAGCAAAGCTGGCTGCGTGTCTGCAAGACATAGTCCTCACCAATGCAAAATTTATGCAGTTCGCTGCACTTTTTCAGGACACATCTGCATGCATGCATGCAAGCGATGCTCAGCTAAATGTATTATTCAGAAGCCCCTTACATACAGTGCTTTGCATAGCCACAGTGTAGCTTTGAGACTTCAAAATTCTGCAAATCAGAGTGTCAGTCACTAGGAACTTGAATACAAGCAGCAAGAATGCACACAATAGTGCATCCAGGACTCTGGACCACCGTGCACTCAATGTAAACGAAGCCACCGCATTGTCATCCATGGGAGTAAGTGCTGGGGGTCCCTCCGGTCTCTGTCCGCCACCTTTGAGGACTGCGTGGCGCAGCAGAGGGAGCGCGGGTAACCAGGTTATAAACTTATAGATGAGGTAGTCTTCTATACTTTGTAACTTTCTTATCACTGCACTTATCGTTCAAATTCTTGTAACGGTATTTTCGGATCTCACAAGGATGTGCTTATCTTTTGTAGTGACACGTATCCCGAAGGAGTTCGGCCACTAGCGTGGGTCCGGTCTTAGCGAGCCGCAGGGCACGCGTTAGCCGTCGCAAGAACACGATACTGCTCAAAGTCGCAACACCTTATTGTCTGTGGCAACACCAAAACGCAGTACAGCCCGTTGCAAAGGCGCGGTGGGAAAGCAAATAGGCTTATCCACGCCACGAGCACAAAAGTACTACACAGGGTGCCACGAGCACGTCTCCGCGGTAAAGGTGATCCACGTAGACACCGGGAACAAGGCCCAGTTGCTCGAGCGAGGACAAAGGAGCTCGCGTTGGCTTCAGAGGGAGACGGGTCGGCGTAGCTAGGCCACGCACTAGGACACCGTACCGCCCTTCGGCCGTGCGTACGCAGTGGGGCAACAAAATGTGAGCGTTCGCCTCGGGCGCGAAGCACCGTCAGCGAAGTCCGACGAGCCCCGAGCGACGAGAGCCGACGGGTGGAAAAGATTGCGTGGCTCACCGTCCGCAGTCCCGGAGAGAATCTCTCCGCTCCCGACACAGCGCGCAAAAACCTCTCGGGAGACTCCGCACGCGCGGCGCCACAGTCAACATTCTCTACCGAGTGAGGGGGTTAAACGTCACTCCGCTCCCCCAGCGCGGCAGACAGCAGAGGAGGGGAGACATGTCGGGACATGAGAACGGCAGAAAATGCGGCAAAGCCCGCGCAAAGGCAGCAGGCTAGCCTCAATTCCCACACTTTCCCTCACAAATATTGGACCAAAGGGACGTTTATCGACACTTTAATGCCAGAATTATGAAACTGCCAAGCAAAATAATAATTGTTTTCATTTTTTCAGCCAACCTTTAAATGGTTCTGCAGTTAGTGTCTAAAATTCAACTTTAATCCATATTTTTTTTTTGTAAGTCACAAATTCTTCATGTGCCCGAGAAGTGAAGACTTTACAACAAAAACGTTATTGTCGTGGGCCACTTCTTGGTTGCGTGCACACCAGATAAACAAAATTATTGAAGATAGATCTTTCGTCACCCAGGCGAGGAAAAAAACAAAGAAGTGTGCTCTGTTGCACGCGTTTCACGCTCTCTGTCAGCTACAAAATAACTGGTTCTAGCATAAAATACCACAGACGAGACGACGCTAGAGTTCACATGCTGAAAGCTACGTTATCCGTGAGTACTTGACTTGACAGCCGACATTAAAGGCAACAGGCATTTCGTGACTCTTGTAGCTCGAAGTTTTTCAGTATGTGACAAATTTGCAACACTCGCAATAAAATGTTGAGAGCAGCTTGTCTTCACGGGACAAGACTCACTTGCGGCCGGCGATCGTGAAGCCTTCGAGCAGCCTGGGACGTGTGAGGGTAAAGAGAAAATGAGAGCGCTGGATGCCCAACGAGTAGGACATCTTGCTGCCATCTTCGTCACGTATCAGCAGGCGAAGCGCATGCTCGGGCTCGAAGTGGTGAAGAATGCGACTCGTGCTGATTGGCTGAGGTGGCAACGGCAAGAGACGTGTCGGTGTCAGCACCGCTCGCCGCACCAGGCAGACGTGCTCCGGAAGCTCCTGCCCCAGCACACCGCCAGTCAGATTGCCGGAACTCCGGCGCATCGAATGGAATCGTTTGTACAGTGCCTCCAGGCCTACCTGCACCCAACAGCAAAGAATAACCGAGGCAAAAACTGTTAGTCTCTGTAAGGCGGAGATAGAAATATAGGAACCCTTTCCTATTGGGCAAAAAGGAAGCCTACAAAGCTTGACATGGGCATGTCTGACCTGCTTCGCTTTTGCATTGCACAATGCTCTTTCCTAAGGTAAGCATTCGGTTTTATCATAGGTAGCTACAAAGCTTGATATGGGCATGTCTGACCTGCTTCACTTTTGCATTGCACAATGCTCCCTCCTAAGGTAAGCGTTCGGTTCTATAATAGGTAGCTACAAAGTTCGACATGGGCATGTCTGACCTGCTTCGCTTTTGCATCGCACAATGCTCCCTCCTAAGGTAAGCGTTCGGTTTTATCATAGGTAGCTACAAAGCTTGACATGGGCATGTCTGACCTGCTTCGCTTTTGCATCGCACAATGCTCCCTCCTAAGGTAAGCGTTCGGTTTTATCATAGGTAGCTACAAAGCTTGACATGGGCATGTCTGACCTGCTTCGCTTTTGCATCGCACAATGCTCCCTCCTAAGGTAAGCGTTCGGTTTTATCATAGGTAGCTACAAAGTTCGTCATGGGCATGTCTGACCTGCTTCGCTTTTGCATCGCACAATGCTCCCTCCTAAGGTAAGCGTTCGGTTTTATCATAGGTAGCTACAAAGTTCGTCATGGGCATGTCTGACCTGCTTCGCTTTTGCATCGCACAATGCTCTTTCCTAAGGTAAGCATTCGGTTTTATCATAGGTAGCTACAAAGCTTGACATGGGCATGTCTGACCTGCTTCGCTTTTGCATCGCACAATGCTCCCTCCTAAGGTAAGCGTTCGGTTTTATCATAGGTAGCTACAAAGCTTGACATGGGCATGTCTGACCTGCTTCGCTTTTGCATTGCACAATGCTCCCTCCTAAGGTAAGCGTTCGGTTCTATAATAGGTAGCTACAAAGTTCGTCATGGGCATGTCTGACCTGCTTCGCTTTTGCATCGCACAATGCTCCCTCCTAAGGTAAGCGTTCGGTTTTATCATAGGTAGCTACAAAGCTTGACATGGGCATGTCTGACCTGCTTCGCTTTTGCATCGCACAATGCTCCCTCCTAAGGTAAGCGTTCGGTTTTATCATAGGTAGCTACAAAGCTTGACATGGGCATGTCTGACCTGCTTCGCTTTTGCATCGCACAATGCTCCCTCCTAAGGTAAGCGTTCGGTTTTATCATAGGTAGCTACAAAGCTTGACATTGGCATGTCTGACCTGCTTCACTTTTGCATTGCACAATGCTCCCTCCTAAGGTAAGCGTTCGGTTTTATAATACGTAGCTACAAAGCTTGACATGGGCATGTCTGACCTGCTTCGCTATTGCATTGCACAATGCTCGCTCCTAAGGTAAGCATTGGTTTTATCATAGGTAACATCCGTACCCAGAACGCTGTTTTCAGGCTGAATCGGCACAGCGTTTTATGTTCTTTTAAGCATTTTACTGTACACTATGCATGTTGGCATCTAACCTGAAACGAGACGAACCGGCCCTTGTCCAGCGACTGCTGCAGTGCATAGAGTGCTTCCTCCAAAGCTTCAGGGTCCTCCGAAGCCATCCGTTTCAATGCTTCTACAACTTGTGCCTTGGTGCCGTTAATTAGTAATTCGTCAACCACCTGCAAAGTGATCGTAATGTTCGGCTACAAGGGCCTCTCACGCGTGCCCGAAGAACAGCAACAATGCCTTCATAACGTATATGTCACAGCATGTAACGAAACATGCCCTTTTTTTTATGCCTATTCACAGGGCAGAACAAAGTTTAATAAAATTTTAGCTACTCAACGGTGTGACAAGTAAGAGGAACATGTAACTCTACAATACATATATAGGTCCCGATCCAATACGGAATTGTTTTTTTTCCTGGCTGTGCAAAATTCTGAAAATCACTTTTACATATATCTCCAAAACCGAAAAGAATGCTCTTTGAGCACCGATTCTTACAGAAGCCTTCCCAGTCTAAACAGGGCAAGTTGGTATCTGTTCATTGCTGAAAGGACACAGCTTTACAATGACTTCGGAAAAGAACAAGAAAGTGTATTGTTCAGGCACAGTGCTAAAAGGCGTAGAGATGCTAATAATACTAATAATACCTGTAAGCTCGTTTTTGTCTCATAGCACCCACACATCATGGTTGGATTAAATGCCACCGAGCTACAGTTCGCCCTTTGCTCCCGAGGGGGTGCCAGTGGGGCCGCCTGGCAGGAGTGAGACTACATGGGGCCATGCCATTCCCCTTTCGGGGGTTAGCGCCCGAGTCAGCGATCATCTCTCGTGGGGAATCACGGGGACGATTCCACAGCTCGGCCCAACTGACCCACGTGGCAAGTCAAACGTCAGCGGCAACGCATTAGCGGTACACTGCGTGTGCAAGGTTCCTTGTGTGTATCGTAGTGGCCTTTTATTAGGTTATCAAGTATTTTACCAAATATATGCAAGATTTGGGCAGCGAGTTTGCAGTCATGTAAAACCTACTTAATACATGTATGTATTCATTGGCTCGCCGCCCTGAGCTACGTTCGTTTGTTACATCAGCATAGCTCTCTTCAAGACCTCACAGTGGTCACCTTAATACATATGTAAGGCAAAAACACCTTGGCTGGCCATTGATACTGTTACAAAACTGCAGGTTTATGTCACTGGGTGTCACCTGAGGCATATGGTTGTCCCATGACATTTGTGTTAATATTTCTGAATCTGTGACTCTAGCTTGTGGTAACAGTTTATTTCAATGCTTAACAATATTGGCAGATTTTATGCGTGCGTCTTTTTAGACAAGTGGGATATTCCTTACATACTTTTACTTCCTTTCTTTTCTGTCACTTTACACGGCGATCCTTTCTGTACAATAAGGTAAAGAACGCAACTGACATTCTTCGTAAGCGTTGCCCGTCTTTCTTTTTTGACCTCAGCGCCATGTTGTGTCCCTAACTTTTCAAAATCCGCGTAATTTGGCACCGTTAAGAGCTTCAAATTCAAATGAATTCAAAAAACATGAAATTACACACAGAACTGCCCGTATTGCTCGCCATATAGAAGTCTCCTATATGGAGACTAAAATCGTAATAATACAGTCACGATGATATGCCTACCTAAGAACTCGGCACAGCTAAAAAGCAACAGCAGAAACGCCACAATAAATCAAACAAAAAATTGGCAAAGCAGCAATAAACTTCAGAAGGAAATATTGCAAAGGTGAGAGCCTCTACCATACCATAGCAAACACTAGCAGGCCACTTTTAACCCAACCTTTCCCTCTGCTCCTACAAACAACATTGTCCCACCTGTGCCGACGATCTCCAAACGGCAGCCAGAGCAAATCTGCAGCCAAATGGCAAGCCCTCCACTTGCAGCTCCTTATCGGCTTCCCCAATGCCTTTGCACTGCCTCGCCTTAAGCTCCACTGCACCGTAATACAGATTCGTTGTCGTACTCAGCATGCCCAAGGCCGCAAGTGCTTCCTCGATGCGGTCACCCGCGGATGCAAACCTCAGAGCCATGACCCGACACAAGCCCAGCGTTCCACTGCCGCACTTGGTCTTTTGCTTGCCAAAGTCCACCGTGCGGACCCACCTCGTCCTTTCGTCAACTTCGTACTGCTCTACATATTTGGGCTTGCGCGGGTCGCACTCGTCGTCCTGGTCCTTGTTTTCGGGGCAGTGGGTCTCGTGGACCCTGTAGAGAAGGGGCGGGTGGATGAGGTGCAGGTACACCACCCAGTCGTTGTCCTCGCCATCAGGGTTCTTGGACACGACCACGTGCCGCACGGAGGAGTACTCGATGATAAACCGGTGCCGGGCATGCGTTTCGCCGTTCTGTTCCTGCTTAGTCAGCGGTTCCTTGACGTCGACAAAGTAGACGTACAGCCTTTGGCGGTAGTGCGCAAAGTGGGCCATGCATTGTGTTATGCGATATCGGGGTTTCTTGTTGGAAGAAGATGCCCGACTCTGGTTAGACTGTTTGGCCTTTGCCTTCACTGGTTCGTCCGGCTCCCTGGGCGATGAACAGTAGTGCTCTACAAATGTTCCCATGCCCACGAAAGATCCAAGAGAAAAGTTTGAAATTTTTAGGTCGTAATGTTCATTTATGGTCGACTCCACTAGCCTGGGCCATGATAGCCACCATCCAGGAACGGCACTGCACAGGAGCTTCACCTCCTTGGGATCCTTCCAGTTGTTGATGATGACTTCAATCGTATCGTCGTAACTCTTGGTGGGAGTAAAGTCCACATGATAGTTGGAAACGGCATCCTCGTAGCAGCTGTCCTCGTTAGTCGAGCCAAGGATGTCCGACTTGCGGACTGTTGTGGGAAGGTCAAACAGGCGCCGAAGCAGGGCACTCGAGGGATTGATGCCACTGCTAAGGCAGGTCACGGCCAGTCGGCACGACCCATCAGACATGGCGCCCTGCACAATGAGAACTTGGTGAGGGTGTATCCAAGAAATCCTTGGGCACTGGCGAAGTACAATCATGCAAGTTTCATCAGTTAACGAGACATCTTTAATGGACACTGAAGAGAAAAACAATTTTTTCTCATACGTCATTCACCATTCCAAGACCACCACGCCTGTCACAAGAGGACACTTGGCAAAGGAGAAAGCGTGCAGACAGAAAGTGCGGGCGGCAACGCCACCCTGGAATTCCTACACAAAACATGACATCAATCATAGATTTGTGCTGGTTCTACTAGGTCCTACAAGGTTCCCAATCAGTAAGTATTTAAGTACAGTGTCCTCTGAGGAAGCCATAGACTCAACACCCTAGGTTTTAGGAAATTCTGTTAGGCCAAGGTAATTAAACTGTGTAAAATACACTCTAGCGATCCATGACACCACACACCCAGATTTCAGTGCAGAATTTGAAAATAAACCTTTGACCTTCGACTTTTGCCTGCAGTAATAAATTTGATAGCGAAATTAGCGACTGTCTCACTTCCGTGAACTTTTGAGCTAAAAATATTACGTCCTCAGCACCGCTTCCTTCTGAAGGGCAGATAACTGCATGACTACGCATTCAAGCACTTTTCAAAGAACAGTGTGACGCACGTGTTCAGCCATCCGTCCAGTGTCCAAGTTTTACAGAACTAAGTTCGATGCAGTGTTGAGAGCATCATACAGACAGTAAAAAAAAAAAATGAATCGATACTCTGAAGTACTGTTAAGCCTAAGGCTTGTTTTCTTTTGTTCTCTGCAATATTGTGATCAAGTTTATCTGTGGCCTAAGCATTAACCTCATGCAATTCATCTATTCGTGCACCGCACAACTCTCCAGTTGCACCAAATGTCGAAAACCAAATTGGGCAGATCCGCACTGTCGCTGACATAATGCAGTGATGTCACGCGGACATTGGCAATGAAAAGTCGTCGAATGTGTGCAAAGCACAAATGTGTGCAAATACGAGGCAGTGATATCTTATGAAGTGCACGAGCATGCAACACGACACTTTCCAACGTTTGAAACTGAGCGCGTGCTCACGTGTACAATACTTTCTACTTCTCTGACATTTTGTGACAAATTCATTCGCATGCCATATACAGATTGCTCTGTATGTGTACTAATCTCAACGTAGGCTTCCTGCACAGCTGTGAATTTTACTGGCTGCAGGCCTACCTTATGTGCCTTGAGTACACAAATATCATGATCATCATCCAGACTACGCTTACTGCAGAACAAAAGCCTCTCGCATATGTTCCGCCAGTCTACTCTGTCCTGTGTTTGCTGCTGCCACTTCCATACCCACAAACTTCCAAATCTAATCTGCCCAACTAACATTGTTTTCGCTTCACACACTTGCCTTCTTTCGGAACCCAGCCTGTGATCCTCAATGACCTACGTGCCCTGACCATTTCTTCTTGATTTCAATTATGATGTCCTTAACTCCCGTTTATTCCCTGACCCACTCTGCTCTCTTCTTGTCCCTTAAGGTTATACCTATAATTTGCCTTTCCGCCGCTCACTGCGTCGTCCTCAATTTAGGTTGAATCCTCTTTGTAAGCCTCCAGGTTTCTGCTTCGTAGGTAAGTACCGGCACGATGCAGCTGTTGTTTACATTCCTCTTGAGGGATAGTGGCAATATTTCATACGTGATTCGAGAATGCTTGCCGAACCTACTCCACCCCATTCATATTCCTCTAGTTACTTCAATCACGTGGTATGGCTTTGCAGTTACTAGCTGTTCCAAGTAGACGTACTCTTTCACAACTTCAAGTGCACTGCTACCTATCTTGAAACGCCGTTCTCTTTCGAGGTTGCTGCACACAAGTATATTTGCACACAAATGCAACAGAATGTGGTTTGCCCAACGTTGCACAAGATGCAGTAGTGGCAAATGACACTACAACCATTCTAGAAATATTCTTAGCCATCTCACATTTAATTAACTGGTATAATTAAAGTTTCCTGTGTCAGCGCTAGCCTAGACACTCTTGTCTGCAGCATGTATTAAGGAGAGATGCTATTAAAAAAAAACGTTTCTTTAATCTGTAGCCGAAGTGAATAAAATGTTTGCTGCTTGCATAGGCTTTAATGCTCATTTTAAATATGTAATTACTTTTATAGTAAGTATCAGTTTATTCTGTACCATGGCAATGTGTAAATATAGTTCTTTTTGACCACACTTTTTTTTGCCACTAAATTTTTATGGTTCTGAGCCATTAATGGCTCACATTGGTCCACATTAACTGTAGAACACAAATAACTATCAAGAAACTGCATATAAGACATTTTAATGGACAACAGAAATTGTGATCTCAGAAGTCTTAGAATGCCCACACCATACTAATTGCTTACTTTAGGTTGGTAATTATCATATAGCAGCAAGCTTTAAAAGAGATACTTGCACTCTTCACATGGTAAAGAATATGCGAGCAGACTTTCATCCCAATCTCGCTATCAGAAGTACCAAAAACATGATCCAACACCGAAGGAATTGCCCTAAATTTTATCTCCTGAAAAATGCATTTAGGGGTCTGTGACAGTGACAGCTCACCTAGGAAGCAAAATTTTTTTCATTATTTCTTCCATCATGAGAGCTTGGTGATCACGGTTACTGCGAGCATGTGGTTTTTGTGAACTGCTCTTGTGAAATGCAATGGCAAGCAGCCTGGTGACGATTTCCAGAGGACTCTAGACAATAAGCTCGTTTATGCTTTTATGCCACCTTGTGCTCTTTAAAAGCTATTCTAACGTGCTTTCTATAAGTTTAATTACACTCTTCAATCTTTTTTTGTCCTTAAAGCAGAGAAACTGAATGTCTGTAAGCGAACAAAACCAAAAAATAAGTATTTTGGAAAGGCTGGCCGAGAGTTGGAAAACACTCGTGTTTTCCAACTCTCGGCTTCCCTTAACAAAGCGAGTATAGCATGAAAAAGAATTTGGGCAAATCCCACGCATTGTTGGAACATGTTTTTTGGAAGTGGTCCTGAGCCTTTCCGGTGGGCCAGCCTCTCTGGCAGAGACTGGCTGGCCCTAATAAAACCCCATTTCATAGGTGCGCCTTTCTATTCAACCATTGTCACATCGGACCTATCAGAGCAAGCTTGATCAAGAAACATTTTAAACTGTGTGTCCGGGCAAGTACAGTTTTGGTGAGTGAGTGAGTACGGTTGAGCGAAATTTTGGCGAGCCCTGGCCCGAGTGAGCCCTATGCAAAAATTATACTTCTTGGGTGAGCTACTTTTCGCTAACCTACAGTCATAACTATGCTTCAGAATTACTAAGATTTATGTAGGCTCACATCTTTACCCATGTCTACTCGCACATTTTAACACACTAGCGTTCATACGCATGCGCACTCATAGATCGGTGTCACGAGCTAAGAGAAAGGGAGTGGGGTATTTTGACTTTTTCCCTCAATCGCTTTCAGGGACGTTCTTAAACACATCTCACGACTCAGACCTTTCACTAAAGATATCCTTATTGGATTTCAACCACTGATCAACTCTTACATGAAAGTACGAGATCAAAAGCATTGTAATAAAGCTCCAATTATGAGAAGTATTGCATTAAGGAAAATTCGATACCATGATTGGCAAAGCTAATTGCCAATCATGGTATCGAACTATTGAGTAGACTCAGAGTCGTGAGTGAGTAACATTTCTCAGAAAGAGTTTGGGAGAGTCTAGTTTAGAAAAAAAATGAGCCGTTGGGTGCGAGAGTCCAGTTATAGAAAATTCTGCCGATCATCTGCTACGAGTGAGCACTGAGCGCAAACTATTCCTGAAAGAGTCTGAGCAAACTCAGCCTTTTTTTTTTTTTTCTCTTGCTAATCTATGAGTGTGGATGAGCAGGTCGGGGCCCTGAACCCTTTGGCAAAATGAAAACTCTCTCTGCAGTATGTCTGAAAGTAAGCTTTTTACACGTGCTTACAAAATCAGACCTTTTTTTTTTTTTTTTTCGCTAGCTATCCAGGGGTGGATAAGGCCAGAGGAGGACAACATTTTAGGGGTAACAGTCACTTGAAGTACCACTGGAGAGGGGGGGGAGAGGGGGCTTCAACTTTTTTTTTCAGCAGTACAAAAAAACCTCGTCACAGCACAAATACTGTTAATGAGTGCTCACAATTGCCCCACTCGTCCCTATTTGTGATAAGAGGTCAGAGGGCAAGAGCACTTTCTTGATATGAATGGGGGGGGGGGGGGGGCGGTCAGGCATATTACTATTTTGCGCGCTCTACGCCATGGCAAAGAAAAATTTGGAGAGGGGGGAGAGGGTACTGACCATAAGGCGACAAACTCACTTGGGCACACTCAGGCTCAGATCAGGCCGTGAATCTGAGCGAGTATGTGTGAGTGACGTTTTGAGGAGTTAGCATCCGACTGGAGATCTTCCCGAGTGCAGTTCAGAAATATTTTGGTGAGTGAGAGTACGAGCGAGTACAGAGCGCAAGATCTATTTCTTGAGCGAGTCTGAGTTGCGCTCTTTTAGCCGACCTATGGTGCCGACACAGGCTTAAGGGGAGGCGGGGGGGTTACGGGGGGGGGGGGGACCGCCGTTTCACCAACCCCTCCGGATCCACCGTACTGTAACATAACCTTCTCCTCCCTTGTCAGTTATCTCAAAACATTGCGCGTCTCCTTCTGCGACACACGCTATCGGGTGACATCTCCCGCCAACGCATAGCTTTGAGTGCAAGTAAAAGCGTGTAGTACGCCGTTTTACGCGTGTTACGGTTCCTCGCTTCGTGCACTGCATCCCCGAGAAGGCAACCTAAGAACACAGGAGCCTGTGTCAAGCACTTGTCGATCGTCCCACGTGCTAAACCGCGCGCGCAAGCAAGCACAACGGTAGTAAGTAGTCTGCTGCGACATTTTCTACGGGACTGACCCGAAAAAGTGCGACCTTTACGGGCGCGATTAGGGCGCACGAAGCAGTAACGTGGTTCCGAAACTATGCTACTGACGCGTCCCGCGTCTCGTTTCGTCGTGCTTGCAAAAGCAAAACAGCGCCCTACAGTCGCCGACGCCCCGTGTCGACTCGCCTTGTTCGTTTGACGAGTCGCACTGGTTTCACCACGTCTTCATGGCCGTTGTCTGCGTTCGCCACGGAGGAAGGAAAGGTGGCGTCCACCGTGGCACGAGTCGGTCGCCGAACTCCGTTATCACGTTGGCAAGAGCCGAGAACGGACTGTCACAGACCACCTACCAGCCACAGAACAGTCGGCAACGGTTGTCCCACCAGTTTCGCGCGAACGTCAGTGACTCTGATTGGCTGCAACCACGAGGACGTCATGAAATGCCGTTGTCAAATAAAAATCACAATAAAATGAAACAGGTGCACTACAAAATTTGTATGTTTCATTTTATACAAGTCAAAACACAAAGTTTGCTCAGGGTAGAAGTTTATGACGTGTCCTTAATTTTGACGAGTGAAACCGTGGCCTCTAGGATTTGCAACTTTCAAAAGCATGTTGTTGTAAAATGTTGATTTTGAAGTTTTTAGTCAAAGTCGTTGGCTAAATTACTACAATTATTTTAATATAAAGCGAAACAAAGCATTGTCAAGTTTTTTTAAAAAAGATATTTTGAAGGTTGTTGGAATTGTTGATAAGCTGCTGCCACCTAGTGAAGATGTAAGTAGGCACTTGACACAATGTTGTTTGCTGTGCTCGGCAGGTGGTCTACGTACGTCCGGCACTAAGGACTCTCGGCATGTTGCCGGTAGCTCGGATCGGGAAGCATGGACTGCGGTGATTTAGATGAGGTACGTGCAAGTGTTTACGGCTTGTCACTCTACAGCTCGTACTGCGTGCGAATATTTACAGCTCATTCGGTCATAGTACGCAATCACTTTAGATGTATAACCTTTCCTATCGCTAGAAATACAGCGCTTTCCGTAGCCTCTGCACGGCGTTCCGCGTCACATGGTGAGCACACACCTTTGTTTTTTTTCGTGGGGCGTAAACAATGTTATTGCAATCTCTTTTCCTCCATTAGCTTGCTGTTTGTGATTTCTGAGCGAAACCCAAGTGTGTAACGTTGCATGCAATTCTTCTTCGAGCATTGTTCGAAAGTTTTCGTTTAGGCATGCCACTAGCCGGCCTCTGTCCCCAAGCGGTAGCTGAAGCGGGCGGTATTCGCACGTATGTGTTGAATTCGCGATTTTCTTCGCTATAAGCGTGTTGGCTACTTTCGCCGCTGTTGAAAATTAAGGCTGTTGACATAGTTCAGGGAACTGCGCACAACTTGCCCGGGCGCCGTTCGTGCGTGCGGTTTTTCTATTTTACTTTACGGCAACGTTTCTCCCACAGGTTGCGTGCCATGCGCGTACGCGCGTCGGGCCAAAACTGTCGGCTCGGCGTTTTGTGTCCCAAACTGACGTCCAAACCTCGCAGCGCGACGTCGACCTAGAGCAGTAATGGACGCGTGTTCACTCTTTGAAGTGTTACTGCTATCAAAGAGCAGTTAGTGTATTCTACGTGCATAGAGAAAACAAATCTCACTCCCAGCAAACCGAAACCATTTAGATTTACGAAAGTTGGTCTGTACCAAAGATTGTGTGCTGAAAGTTTGTAACTGTGCCGATTGAACTCTTATCAGGTGCCTGAAGCGGTATATATCTATGAACATGACTTTAAGTTTGTATCAACTTACTAGTGTAAAAGAACAGTTCTGGCTTTTTAAGGGCAGTCAAACTCATCACCGCGAAACCGAAACCGTTTACAAAAGTTGGTTTCTGTTCAAGTAATCTCGCATGTTTCAAGAGCGACAAAGTAGACACCACAAGCTGACCTTTTTTGCATGTTTAAAAGTTTCGTGAAGTGTTTTCTGGATTCCGTGGCTTCGAGCGTACGTTTTCAAAAAGTTGTCCGAAATGCGAGCAGTCGACATCTAGGCCTAGCGTGGTGCCTCTGCCCGCTGAAGCCAAGCGCGACGTTTTTGTGGCGCACATTTCGTACCGAGTGAACACAGAGGCCATAATTGTGCATTTCAGTTAGTGGGTACCTTCAGCGCTTCCTGCGTTGCATTTGACTCTCTTGATTACATTGGGTATTACTCCAGATGATGTCGGTCGCAGTAGTGTATCTAGCCGATCCTGCATGATTAAGCTTGCAATCGTGTTACTGGAGTCTGTGGCGCCAATCGGGGGTTCTCTTCTAATGTAATTCTTCCTCCGTGCTGGAGTTCATATTCTGATAACGATAATTATATTTAATGCGAAGCGTTTCTTAGCGAACTTCGGTGACTTTGAGCGTATCTATCTATCAGCCTATGACTTTTAGCTCTCCTGGCCGTTCCGATAATGGTATCGATACCATACTTAATTGGTATGGCATAACATGATTGTATGAAGAACATATTTGACTACTCATAACATGATCATGGCATTTGTGTCATGTTTTATCTGTCATGACATGTATTTCATGAATGTCATGATTTACATTCCGTGGTCCTGAAGCTCTTGCGGTGGTTTCGTTCACGTGGCATGTTGCAAAACTGGTATGATGTGACATGATTGCATGCCGAACACAAGCGACCGACCCTAACATTAAAGTCATGACATGCGTGTCATGTAACATGACTACATGCCACGCTCATGATGCGCTCGCGGCCGTTTCGCTAGCGTCCCATATACCAAACTTGGTACTACGGTACGTGAATGGATGATGAAGGTATGTGACTGGTGCAAACATGGTAATTATGAGATGCGCGTAATTTAATAACGTGACGACATGCCACGCTCATGATGCCCTGGCGGCCGTTTCGCTACCTTCACTTATACCAAATATTGTATTACGGGACGTGAATGGATGACAAAGGTATACGATACTGGAGCAAACATGATAATCATGAGATGCGTGTCATGTGAGAACATGACTACATGCCACAGTCAACGCGCCAATACATTTCGACGTGATGCAGTGCTCGCCGGCGTTCATTTCGTCGCGTCACGCCGGCGTTGCCGCGGCAGGTGCCGGTCTTTGCATATACGCAGGCGCGCGCCACGTTGCGTTGCTATGACGCAAGCGCGTTTCAGCGCGTCCAGCGTCCCTCCGTCACGAAAAGAGGGAGACGCAGTGCTGTCTGGGTAACGCATGCATCGGCGCGAAATGCAGCACGTCGCATTTCGCGCCGGTTGCCGCGGGGCCGCGCCGACGGACGCCGGTCGCACCTGGCGTCTGACTATAGAGAGCTCGCATTTTGCCAACGTTGCGTTGATGTTCCCAGCGTGCGCGCGCGTCAACGCTACATTGCAGTACATTGGGCCCTTCATGATGCGCTCGCGGCCGTTTTGCTAACTCCGCATATACCAAATTTGGTGTTGCGTGACGTCAATGAATGACGAAAGTATACGACTGGTGCACCCATGCATAATGCTGACAAGCGTGTCATTTAAGAAAACGACAACATACCATGCTCGTAGCGTACTCGCGGCCGTCTCGCTAGATCCACATATAACAAATTTGGTATCACGTGACGTGAATAGATGACGAAGGTAAACGACACATTCAAACGTGATAATCATGGCACGTAATTCGAGTACGGCATCATTTACCTCCACCTCGTAATTGTGCTGATTTTAGAGTGCCATATCAACCTTACTCATTCTTGCTTCGCATATCATCGATTCCCACTGTACGTGGGATCTGCCAATTTTTTATCGACACAAATTGAGCCATCAAGCCTCTTCGTTCTGATTATGTTTTGTAGCGTCACTAGAAGTCCGGAATATGTCTGTCATCTCTTTCCGATTTTAACCGTCTTCATTCACGACTCTATTTCTATATACTGTACATGATCCGCGCATGTAGCGACCCAGTCGAAGCTCTTCCAGTCCAGCTTTTTTTTCCACCATTACGTAATTTAGGTGTATTGTGATTGCAACATCAACCGCTAGCCAGTTTGTTTTTTCGTTAGCTTTGAATCTCAGCGCCTCTGGGAGGCACAAATGCCTTTTGTGGGCCTCGCTGAATGAATATCCTGGCATTCCATCACAATAACAATAATTTATTATATCATTAATTAAATAAATGAGGTAAGGTCAAATATAGCAAGGACTAGAGCCTTCGTAATATTTTGTAACTCTGTAGGCTTTCTACAGCGAATGCTACAACATTCACGAACGTCATCAATGTCAAGCTTTGTCGCCCTATTTCAAATAAAATTAGGACATAAAAAGTAGACCATTTTCAACCAAACACCGCGGATACAGCCAAAGATGTAAAGAAACAGATCAAAATGTCATCACAACGTGACCTGCGCCCCAAAAGCGTGTATAACAATCGACTTTTAAATCTACATCTGCCAGAAAAATTTACGCGAACGCAACACTTGCACCTGTTGTTGGTCATCAAACTGCAAGCTGTTATTACAAGATGACCACAGCAGCTGATTAATGGGACCCTGCGACGGTTTTGACGATTTTTTCACGAACACATTGGGCCGGTAGACCAAGTCCTAAAGATTATATAGACACTGATTTGAGCTCCCTGCGTAAACTGTGTATAATTTAATGCAACGCTTTAAAGCTGCGAATCGCCCCGCCGCGGTGGTCTAGTGGCTAAGGTACTCGGCTGCTGACCCGCAGGTCGCGGGTTCGATTCCCGGCTGCGGCGGCTGCATTTCCGATGGAGGCGGAAATGTTGTAGGCCCGTGTACTCAGATTTGGGTGCACGTTAAAGAACCCCAGGTGGTCAAAATTTCCGGAGTCCTCCACTACGGCGTCTCTCATAATCAAATAGTGGTTTTGGGACGTTAAACCCCACAAATCAATCAATTAAAGCTGCGAATTGCTGAGACTCCGCCAAACGCGTTTTGAACCGCCCATACACCAAGCGACGCGCTCTGCCCCACTGACGTCATTGTTTCCAGCTGATCTGATTGGCTGTGGAACGCGCAGCACAGACAGCCGGTATCGGATCGGCGGTGGCATTTAGGGCCCTTCCACGCGCTTCCCGCACAACCGCAACGCACGTGCCGGGACCCCTGCCGCACGCAAGCGGGGGACAAATAAGCAAGTCGCCAATCGGCTTATTTGTCCCCCGCTTGCGTGCGGCAGGGGTCCCGGCACGTGCGTTGCGGTTGTGCGGGAAGCGCGTGGAAGGGCCCTAAATACCACCGCCGATCCGATACCTGCTGTCTGTGCTGCGCGTTCCACAGCCAATCAGATCAGCTGGAAGCAATGACGTAAGTGGGGCAGAGCGTGTCGCGACTTGCTTATTTGTCCCCCGCTTGCGTG